TTGACACCTCTGTTAATATTTTTTTTAAAATTATCTATTCACATGAAAAAAAATAATAAAAAAATACTTTTAATCAATAATATCAAGTGGGTGTGGTAAAAAGAGTTAAAAATGATTATTAAATAGTTAAAAAATTAAAAAAAAATAAAAAAAATATACATGAGATTCAAGCAATAAAAGCAAAATGTTTTGGAAAAAAAAAGAAAAAATAAATTTTATTAAAAATATTTAAATATGAGTTTTATGAAAAAATAAGAATGATTAAATATGTAAAAAATATATAGAAAATGGGATCCATTAAAAATTGGGTCTTATAACATAAAAATTAAAAAATATTATTAAAATATATAAAAATAAAAGAAAAAAATTATGGACCCTCTATATAAAAAAAAAAAAAAACACTCTAAAAATTTAAAGAAGTCAAAAACCTAAAAGAAAAATGAAAGTGGGTCTCACTAAAATCAAAAGTGGTCCTATAACATAAAAATTAATTAAAATATATAAAAACAAAAAACTAATGTGGATCCAAATAAAAATTTTAAAAAATATCATATGCGACCCCGAGACAAAACAATAAAAAAAAAACAAAAAAGAGGTAATGATAATTAATAAAAAGTTCAAACAAAAAAAAGAAGCAGTAAAAAACACGTGGCACTAAAAGCATCCATACATTTGCAGTATTTATATTACTAATTTGACTTATTTTGACTTTTGTTTGATCCTTATTTAAGGTTTTAACAAGCTAATCCTATATTTTTTTATTTTTTATTTTTTGCTTGTTTTAATTATTTTTATTTTTAATTTGCTTAAATTTTATTGAAAAAAACCTATGTAAATGACCATTTGACACCTCAATGTGCTTTTTATCATTTTCTTTTAATTAAATAAATTTTGTAACGAAGTAACCGATGAATAAAAATGACAAAACAATTCATATTCAACTAATCTTGACTTAATTGGGATGTTCACATAGTGCTCCAATATGCTTTCTTTTCTTTTTCATTTTTTCATTTTGTGTTCTTTTATTAAAGTAATTTTATGATAAAAAACAATAATGGTTATTGATGTGGCATCCCATTTGGCTTTTTTTTTCTCTTTCATTTTTTATGTATTTTTTAATTAGATGAATTTTTCAATGAAAGGTGTTAATTAATAGAAATGCCCAAACAATCTCAATATAATAAAAGATAATTCTTAAAATTGGGATTCACTTTAGATAGGTCAAGTTTTTTTAAGACAAACGGGCTCAAATCATAAACATATTTAAGATGCTTTATCCTTACCTATTTCGAGAGAGATATATATAGTACACATTTTATTATTTATTTAATTTTATACATATATGTATTATATTAATAAAGTTTTTTTTAACTTAATTTAATAAATTAATATTTTATGCTTAAATTAGATTTCAATATGGCACCTAAATGTATTTAAAGTGTTTTGTCTTGACCCATTTCTATATGTATATATTATTTTATTTATTTAATATTATGAATATATATTCTATTAATAATTTTTTTACCTTAATTTAATAAATTAATATTTTAAACTCAATATTGGATTTCAATATGGCACTTTCTATAAGCTTTTTTCTTTATTTTTATCATTTTTTGTTTTTCCTTTTTTTAATTTTTTTGTTTTCTTTTATCTTTTTTATTTTGATATTTATTTGTTATTGGATAAATTTTATGAAAAAAATAGATCAATTAAGCTATCCATGTGTTACTTTGTTTTATTTTTTGGTTTTTGTTTTATTTTTATTTATTTTCTTATATTTAATACATATTTTTTGAAAGATTTTATTTTTTAAAGGTGAACTCACTTTATGTATATCAAGCTTTCTTTCTTTTTACCTTTTTTTGAATTTATTTTTTAGTGGAACCCATTTGATATTAAGGGTATGCCACATGTTTATTTTTTTCTATTATTTTTTATTTTATATATTTAAAAAATATTTTTGAGGTTTTAATTTTTTTTTTGTCTTGCCAACTTTATACCAATAGTATGCCACATGTCAAGTTATTTTCTTCATTTTTTCCTTTTTTTCTTTTTATATAAGTTATTTATTTATTTTTTTCTTTCTTTTTCCCTTTTAAAAATTTGTAATTTTATAAATATTTTAACTTTTTTAATGTGGGACCATTTAATATTATTGATTAAAAAATTATTTTTCTTTTTTTTGAAATTGATAATTTTTTAAGTAAAAGATATTAAGCTAAGCTCATCATTACTAATGTCACATGACAACTCGATTTTCATCATTTTTTACTTTTTTTTCTTTTCTTTTTTATTGTGTTATGATTTTTCTTCCTTTTATTTTTTTAATTAAATAATTTTGTTAGCCAATCTCATAGTTACATGATGTAAGACTTAGTTTGCTGTTTTTGTTGTAATTAGATAATTGTTGAAAAAACCAGCAAATATGTATGCATGTCATTTTATTTCACTTTTTTGCCTTTTTATATATTTTTTTTATATTTTATTTTTTAATTGGATAATTTAGAACAAAAAATCGATAAACAAAATTTTTGAAAAATGAAAATGGAGGTATGGATAACAAAACGATTGGTAAATGATGGGTTTTAATTCATCCAAATCTTATAGGTGTTTGGGATTGAATTAAGGTTTTTTTTTCTTTTGAAAATCAATATCGAGTAAGTGACAGGTTTATGATTTTCCACCTTGCCCTGACTATATTTAAATTATATTTTTAATTGTTTATTTAATTTTATATTTATATATGTATTATATTAATAAATATATAATTTAATATCTTAATTAAAAGATACTATATTTATCCATAATTAAGATATAATTCATCCATCCATTATGTAAATTTGAGTCATTTTAATTTTTATTTGACCTTCATTTAAAGTTTGATGTGCTACTTTAATTTTTTTAATTTTTTTTTGCCCTTTCTTTCAATTTTATTTTTAATTTAAATAAATTTTGTGAAAAAACCTATGTAGGTGTCTAAGTAGTACCTCCATTACTCTTTTTTTAATTAAATAAAATTTATAACAAAAATAGCCGATGGATACAAAAGGCAAAACAATTTTGTAGTATCTTAATTGAGATGTCCATATAGTATTTCAATGAGCTTTCTTTTCTTTTTTAATTTTTTTTCACTTTTTTGTCTTTTTTATTAAAATAATTTTGTAAAAAAAAACTCAATGAAAGTGTAGATATAATGCCCAATTTGCCTTTTTTTCCCTTTTTTGTATATTTTTTAATTAAATAAATTTTACAATGAAATATATCAATTGATAGGATACAAAAATAATATGTTTCCAACGAGCTTTGATTCATTTCGATTTGATAAGAGGTGATTTTTTAAAATCAATACTGATTTGAGATGAGTTGAGTTTTTTAATGAGAAACAAGCTTAGGTCAGAAGCATATTTAGGATATTTTGTCTTAACCATTTCGAAGTATATAAAAAAGTATATATTTTTTTATTTATTTAATTTTATACATATACATGTATTATATTAATAAAGTTATTTTTTTTAATTTAATAAATTAATATTTTAAACTCAAAATGAGATGTTGGTGTGGCACTTTTTGTGAGCTCTTAATTTTTTTCTCATTTTTATGTTTTTTTCATTTTTTTTCTCTTTCACTTTTTTTTTGTTTGTTTTTTGTTTTAGTATATATTTTTATTGGATAAATTTTATTAAAAAATAGGCCTTTTTTTCCCTTTTCTCAATTTTTTTGTTTTTGATATTTATTTTTTTATTAGATAAATTGTGTAAAAAAGCTAATTAAAGCATCTACATATCATTCTTATTTTTTTTACTTTTCGTTTTTTTATTTTTAATTAGATAAATTTTATAAAAATTTTACAAATAAAATAAAAAAATTTTTAATCTGAGGCAATGTTTGAACATTTTTCTAATAATACAAATTAAGACAAATTTCGAATAGACGAAAAAGGATGGAGAAAAGTTGGGGGACTAAATATGGACAACTAAATTTTCAAGATTAGGCTTGTTTGAATATGGGTTTTATTGACCCAACATTAATATGAAATTAAATTGCAGAACTGTCCAAAAGTATTGGACTTACATATGAAGATGAACGAGATCAAACCAGATTGAATTGGAAGAAAAGCTTCGTACCAATCTAATTTCGTGAAAATCATTATGAATTTTTGTTATGATTTAATTACAATTATAAATTTAAACTTTTAAAAATTTTAATTTATTATTAATTTCATAATCCATTCATTCATTATTTAAAATATATATATATATATATATATATATAATTTCATTCCAACTTACTATCTTCAAGCCCCAACAATGACATCATGTCAACGAATTCACAGCTTCACAAAATATTTTTTGGTGACAAAAGCTTCAGAAATTTTAACTTATAATAAGCAAATGATATCAACTCTGGAAAGCAAGGGTCAAGGACCATTTTCAACGCACATACAATCATTAATCAAGATAGGAAAAAGATTTTTGTGCCTAAAATTTAAGAAATCAAATGAGAAAAAAAGGAAAAGCTTTGTTTAATGGTTGCTAAAATTAAGGTTGAAATAAAATTTTTCTTTATAACTTTTCAAAAATTAAAAAGTTAATGGAGTTTTGGTTTAGTGATAAAAGAAGATTTTAAAATTTTAAGATTTTAAGTTTAAATTTCATTATGTATGAATTTATTATCTATTTAAGTTTTATTTTGTTAATTTATTATTCAATGATTATAATTTAATTATAATATAATGAGATAAATTTACTTATATTAATGTAAAATTAAAAAGTGTTATATCTTTTTAATCATTAATTTTAACAGAGTTAAGATATGAGAGAGTTAAATAAAAAAATGAATTAATCTCATTTTATAAATTTATTAAATTAATAATTAAAAATAAATTTTTTTTGTATAAATTGATCCTTTTATATATATAATAGTTGATTATATAAATGTAATAGTTAATTATAATTATAATTTTTTTTATTAACCCCACTTAATAGCATAAATAAAATATTTCAATTTTCTACATTAGTAGTATCTTTGCTTTTGCCTCAAGTTTTCTTGCTGATACTGCTATTAACAATTGTTAAAAAACAATTCAATTTAAAACTCAACGACAGACGAAAAAGGAAAGCAACCAAGCCTCGACCATGTCGATCACAGGGGTTGAAAAAATCCCTTTTTCTTGGAAACTTCAATGGTTCACTTGATTGCACGTGGGCCGATGTCAGTGAGTCTCAATGGTCTTTGAAATTTTAGTGGGGAACTGGCTTCGAATCCGGTGGTCCTCTCCCCACTTCTTATTGTATGACTGCAACTTCAAAGGCAAGGATCAAGTTTTTTTTTCTAAATGTAAAGGTCAAGCTTCCTTTTTGGCGGCTACTGTCTTTTTACGATGGTAACAGTTCAAGCACTTGAACGGCTGATGGGTGAGAGATTCTATGAACGTTCGTACTGATCTCTAGCACTATTAGAAGATCAAGAAATAAAAAACAAAGGCAAAGAAAAACAAAGACAGAGAACGAGATAAGGCAAGCAGACTTGGCCATGTGTTTCAGATTGGCAATTCTGCTAACTCTTCTGATAAACTTTGCAACAGCCGCCGCCGATGTTGATTTCATCTACAATGGATTCCGGTCGGCTAATCTAAGCCTTGATGGCATCGCAGAATTCACTTCCAATGGAATCCTAAAGCTAACCAATGAAACCAGGCAACAAAAAGGTCATGCTTTCTACCCTCAGCTTGTAAACTTCAAGAACCCAACCAACGGTTCAGTTTTTTCCTTCTCTACCACCTTTGTCTTCGCTATTGTTTCTGAATACCCAACTCTCAGCGGTCACGGTATCGCTTTCGTGATTACAGCCTCCAGAGGCCTCCTTGGAGCTCTTCCAAGCCAGTATTTCGGACTTTTCAATGAGTCCAACAATGGCAATGCTACGAATCATGTTGTTGCTATAGAACTCGATACGATACAAAATAACGAGTTTGCTGATATCAATGACAATCATGTCGGGATTGATATTAATGGGATGAAGTCTGATACATCTTTTCCTTCTGGATATTATGAGGATCAGAGCCATCAGTTTACAAACCTGACCCTGATCAGTGGGCAACGGATGCAAGTTTGGGTCGAATACCATGGTTTAGAGAAGAGAACAGATGTTACTTTAGCTCCATTTAATGTTCCTAAACCCAAGACTCCACTTTTATCTTTGTCTCGTGATCTTTCTTCAATTGTTAACAAGGAGATGTATGTTGGTTTTTCATCGTCAACTGGTTCTGTTCTCACATCTCATTATGTTTTGGGTTGGAGCTTTAAGATTAATGGTCAGGCGCAAGAGCTTACCTTGTCTCAACTTCCCAAGCTTCCTCGGTCAGGACCAAGGAAAAGAACAAGACTTTTGACAATCGGGCTGCCTTTGATTTTAGTGAGTTTGGTTTTGGCAGCGGTTTCAGGTGTAGTTTATTTCATAAGAAGGAAGAGAAAGTTTGCTGAAGTTGTTGAGGATTGGGAGCTTGAGTATGGGCCTCATAGATTCAAGTATAAAGATCTATACATTGCCACAAAAGGATTCAAAGACAAGGAGCTATTAGGTGCTGGTGGATTTGGTAGGGTCTATAAGGGAATTCTACCAACCAATAAACTTGAGGTTGCAGTAAAAAGAGTCTCACATGAATCGAGGCAAGGGATGAAGGAATTTGTAGCAGAAATTGTGAGTATTGGTCGTCTCCGTCACCGGAATTTAGTTCAACTCTTGGGATATTGCCGGCGTAAAAATGAGCTACTTTTGGTCTATGACTACATGCCTAATGGAAGTCTAGATAAGTACTTGTATGACCAGCCAAAGGTCACCCTAAATTGGAGACAAAGATTCAAAGTCATGAAAGGTGTAGCATCAGGATTGTTTTATTTACATGAAGAATGGGAGCAGGTTGTGATTCACAGAGATGTTAAGGCTAGCAATGTTTTGCTAGATGGTGAACTAAATGGAAGATTGGGAGATTTTGGCCTTGCTAGATTATATGATCATGGAACGGATCCACAAACAACTCATGTTGTGGGAACTCTTGGTTATCTTGCTCCAGAGCATACTCGAACTGGGAAAGCCTCACCATGTACCGATGTGTTTGCTTTTGGGGCATTTTTGCTTGAAGTTGCCTGTGGAAGAAGGCCAATAGAAGCACAATCTCAAACAGAAGATATAATTTTGGTTGACTGGGTGTATTCTTGTTGGTACAAAGGTGATATTCTTGAGGCAAAGGATCCAAATTTGGGTATAGATTATGTAGCAGAGGAAGTTGAGTTGGTCTTAAAACTTGGATTGATCTGCTCTCAGTCAGCTCCTGAAGCAAGGCCAACCATGCGCCACGTTGTTCAATTTTTAGAACGAGATATTCCTTTTCCAGAAATATCATCACTTAGTCTCTCTTCCAGTGGCCTAACATTTGCACATCGAGAAGGCTTTGATGATTTTGCCATGTCATATACATCTCCAATTTACAAGGGATTCTCCCATTCATCTTCTGTGGCTGAGTCTCTACTTTCAGGAGGTCGATGATTGTAAACTTTTCTCAAAGTTTTTAACAAATATGAATGCATTGTTTCATATAGATGTTAACAGACAATGAACTTCTTTTTTGCCACTTGGCCATTGAAATTAGAAATTTGAGGCAAAGGTTCATTCTTTACTTTATATTATTATACTTCTGCACGTAGTATTTGTACTTTTGTATCTTTTTGGGTGTTGATTTTTCAACCCACCCTAAACAGTAACACTCTTCCTCATCCATGGCCGCGTGGCAGGTGAGGGGGTTGCTTGTAAGAAGTCGTGCAATTGCGAAACGTGAATTCGACCTGTATCAACTTGATTTTAATACAGTCAAGGAGTCCAAAATGTCTGCTGTGGATCCTGATTTCTATTTTCAGTAGCTTTCTCAATACCAATAATGATGTTGTATTTGTTAATGCCATAAATCCCATTAATCGTATTGGCTGTGCCTTAAAAAATTGGGTAATCCAATCCACAAACGCTATTATTGCAAGTTGGGAAGTCAAAGCATGAGCTGGTCAGAATATTTTGTACAACCATGTCTCACATATGTTTAGTATTTTCTCAGATAATAAATAAATTACTTTTTGAAGGGTTTGGAGGAGTTAGGTACCCGTGATCACCCTATTCTAGTGGGTGATTCGTGATTAAGGACAAGTGCGTGGAATTTGAAATTTCAAGATAATTTAAGGCACTATTACAATCTACAAGTCTGAAAATTTGTTACTTAGGCTCCAATCGGTAGAAAATATTTTCGAAATATAATTTTTATATTTTAAAATATTTATTTAATAAAAAATTAATTAATCAATAAAAAATAAGATTATTTTTTAAAATTATCTTACAAATTTAAAAATAAAAAAATATTTTTTGAAAATAATTATTTATGAGTAGAATTATTTATCAATGTTTTTGAATATAATTTTATTTATAAGTAATATTATATTAATAAATAAATAAAATTATATTAATATAATATATTAATAAATATTATATTAATAAATAGTATTATAATAAATTAATAAATAATATAAATAATAATAAATACTTATATTTTAAGTATTTTTATATTAGTATAATATTTTAATATTAAATATTATTATTAAAATATAATTATTTTTAAATATTAATAATTTTAATAATAAATAATTTCAATATAATTTAATAATAATTAATTTTTAATATTTTAATAGTTATATTAATGTTATTTAAAATTATTAATTTTTTAAAAACTAATCAAATAACAAAAAATTTTTTCTTAACTTATCTGAATAATAAAAAATCTTTTTAATTCAAAAATATAAATATTTTTTAAAAATTAATTTTTGCAAAAAAAGAAAGAAGATTGAAAGAACGTGGGTTGTAACTTGTGTCTAAATTCACTCAATTTCGGCTGTAATGACACAGACAGAAGATTATTTAGCGTGTAAAAAACTTTTGTGACATTTTTAATCCTTTCGAAATCTTTCCTTCAATTAGAGAAGGTATTTTGACCTGTAGTTGATGAATTTTAATTTGATTTAATTTTTTTTGATCAAATTTTTTTTTTTTAAATTAGATATTGAGTCGGGTGAGATTGAATGATAAAAAAAAAATCGAAATTAGAATCAGTAAACTTAACTTGATATATATAAAAAAATTATTTTTAATTAATTATATATATATTTATTTAATTTTATATTTATATTAAAAATAATATTTTATTAATTTTAAATCGAATCAAATTAAATATAATTTTATATAATATTAAATTTAATTATAAAAAAAATTTAAAAATAAATCAAATTAAATTAAATCAGATTAAATTCAGAACGAACAAAAATTCGTCTACCTCGAACCAATTGCCATTCATGACTTCAACTGTGAAATTTTATTTTTTTATCATATAATAGTCATTGTTATATATTAGGTGTATTTTTCGTGCTTTTAAAGCCAGGCTATAAGATTTGTCGTGATTCAAGTTCCTCTGATCTACAACTCTATTAACTTGGATGTCTGCCCTGAACGACTAGTGGGATTTGGTTTCGATACTATATCTCTACCGTCCAGCGTCTACACCTGCAAACATGACTTTTATCATGATTCTACGTATACCCATTGTTCGGAGGAGGGGAAAAGTCGCATGACAGTGAATGCTAACTTGGGCCTTTGAAGGCTAACACTATTGAAATTTTGAAACAAAGGCCCAATAATATGAATTAAAGATGGTAGAATCAACTCAGTCCAAAGCTCAGCCTCAGCTTGGAAGTCCAAAAGTGATTAAATTCACAGGTTGAAGGTTCATACTTTTTGGCCATTGTCCTTACATTCCAAGGCTGAATCCTAAATTTTATGAGTCAATGTTAACAAGCCAATCCAGCAGGAAAGAGGCATTCTTGAAGTGCATAATAATTATAAAATTCAATGCTAACTTGTAAGTATAACTTTAAATCTAAAAAATTATATATGAACATTAGAATATTAAATTCAATTTCATTGTGCACCTATTTGGACAGAATAGTTAATTTGCAGAAGCAATAATGGATTTTTTTATAAAAATTAAGTTTTCCTTTTCCCTATTCTTTTATTGGTGGCTTTTAATGGGTAAATACTATTAATTAGAGATGAAAAAAGGACTTTAACCGAGTATTAAAATCCTAAAAACTTTTTTATCAGAAGTTTATTGGGTCAAAAGCCTATACAACCACCAAACCACACTAATCCAATAAAATATAAAAAGTCCACGCGTAAGTGGTCATAATTACTTATTTAGGCTCTTATGTTTGTATCATTTTACGACTAAATTTATTAACCTATTTTATTAACTATAAAACCACTAATTAATAATAGCCCACTTATTGAAAAGCTCTAACATTCTCCCGCTTGAACAATATTAATTTGGTCGTTTGATTTAAAAAAATATATAATTTAGAAAACAAGAGTCAAGAGTGATTAACTTTACTTTGATTTGGTCACAGTTTTAAAAACAATTTATCCCTTGAGACAACATTTTAATGATCGTGTTTAATATAACCACCTAATATCAAATTATGGCAGCATTTGTCCCTTATCGACACAAGACAATCTGTGGTTACAAGTAACAAAGACTTTATTGACAATGGATCTCAGTGTGACTATGTACTAAGAAAATAATAATTAAATGTGAACTTAATGTGTTATTTTCATTGTCAATCCTCTTGCAGATTTCTCTTAACTTGTGAAAAAATCTCTATGGCATCCATATATACTTGTATGTCTCTTTTTTATCCTTGACATTACTTGTTGGTATCATTTATGAGATATATCCAAATGACATTAAAATCGTACTTAAGACAATACCAAGTCTTAAGATTTTTATAATATGACATGTCAATTTAAGATGTATACATGCAATAATAAACATATATACAAATAACAACTATAATGAAAATGCAAAATAGTTATGTTCATTTAACTTGATGGTACCTCATAGACTTATTTATTTCAAACTATATCTTGTAGATAATTAGCAATCACATGCGATGCATTTAACAAAGTAAAGAAACCCAAAACAATAATGGTTTCAAAAGCAAATTTACAATGCATCATTGCCATAATCAACTCAATACCTTAACAAATTCTATTTTCCATATCTATAGATATCCATATTATGAGTTTAGTAATTCTATATTCCACACATAGAGAAAATATGTTATCATGTAATCAAATTACAATGATTCCTACTGATCTAGTGAATCATAAACATGTGTACCAATCAAACACTGGAGTCATAAAAAAATTATGAATTGTCCATCTTCATACCAAATGTGATAATCATTATTTTTCTTGGACTTTCATGATGTTACTTTAATAAATCACTTACAAATTACTAATATATTATGAATAAATTTTCGTATTCATATGTTCATACAACATAAAATTCTCAATGTTTTATCAATGAGATCATTTTTAATAAATTTGAAATTAATTGAATTACCAATATTTTATATCTAAAACATTTCTAAACCAATAGCCGATTAACTTCAATTGACCTTAACACATATGATATCTCCAAAACAATAAGCTTTTACTACTTTAAAAAATATGCAAAAAACTCTCACTGATTTTCATTTCCTTTAAAGAATAGTTTTAGCATTAATAAAATAATTATGATAATAATTAAAATCAAAACGTTTATATTATCATGCTTTGAAATAACTTTCAAAATTAGGTCATACATAGTTCAAAACAAGAGAAGTGAAATGAGAGAAAATTATAAAATTTTTGTTTTCTCTCATAAGTAAACCAACAAAATTTGAGAAAGATTATGGAGGAAGGAATTGAATCAATAAAAACAAAATAAATAGTTTACTTATTTATACAAAACTTCATTTCTCAAAACTCTCACACTTATGATAAGTGTAAAAAAATTCTCTCTCTTATGTGTGAGTTCCTAAAAAAAAAATTAATTTTTTTTAAAACACATTGTCAACAAATGACAAAAATATGCTCTTTAAAATCGATAACTACTGGGTTTGGTAATGGTAAATAAGATAATCAAACCAATATCTTAATTGAAAGTTAAAAAACCAAAATAAATATTTACTAAATGAAATTATATTTCAACAATTCTCAATTTTACTTAAGACAAATTAAGATATCATAATAAATCTAAAATATTCTTGTGTGGAAGCTAACCTTATTGACCATCATAAGACACTATACAAAAAATGAAGATCCTTATATATGATAAATTAAAGTAACTAAAATTTATACATTCATTAAATTGTACAAAAGATCCAAGAACTTGTCATTAATGATAGACATTAAGTTATGATGACAATTATCCAATTATATTGAAATTGGAAACAAAGGCTAATCATGATCCAAAAAGATAAGACTATCAGTCTAACATATTTACTAGTTTTATCAATAATAACCAAAGTGCCTTATAACAATTTTAATCTTGAACATTCTTTTAAAGAAAATATTATAACTTTATGTGATCATATCTCAATAAAAAAAAGAACACTTTAAAAAATATATCTCTTTTAGGCAGATAAATTCCTAAATATATTTATATTTCTATTTTCACTTCACAAAATTGATTCATAATTATCTCTAAATTAAAAAGATATATTCATCCCCTTTGGACAGGTAATTACATGTAGTAACTTGAAAACAATCCATAACCACATAAAAAATTTCATAATATATATTTCTATTGATTTTCTTATATCTATTTATACATATAATCACTTCTAGTGAGATATTAATCTAAATGTACCTTTATAGATCATTAAAAATTAAAATTTAGAATACCCATGATTATTTTATGCAACTTAAAAATTTTCAAGTCATGTTCCATAATCATGCTTTTAATTAATATAAACACTAGCATGCCATACTACCAAGTAAATTGTCTTAACAATTAATAATACTTTATTATGACATTCCAATCTTTCAAACATGATTACAAGAAATTTCAAAATTAAAAATTGACTGGCCAAAAAAACCATCTACCAATGCAGGTACTTTATAATTA